CACACACACACACACACACACACACACACACACACACACACACACACACAATAACACAACACACACACACACACACACACACACGCACACACACACACACACACACACACACAAACGCACAGAGATGGAGCGACGCGGTGCGACGTGAGGTAGGGCAACCTGTCCAATGGAGGATGACCGCGACTTGGCCGTAAGCACGGTGCTCGATCGTTTGCGGGGGACAAACGTCGGTGGTCCTGGCAGTGAGGATGTCATGCTTGACTTGCGCGAGTGCTGTTGGTGGCTGTAGTTGCCACTGCCGTTGCTGCTGTGGCGCCGTGAATAGCTTGCCGAGGCAGTGACCGGCTCTTCGTAGATGCTGGCACGCGGATTTGGCGCGCGCTGGCCGCTTGCGCTGAGAGAAGGGCGGGACGGCCGAGGTGGTGGCACGCACTGGCTCGCCTTGCGTGACGGCGTGTGTGAGGCGGAAGGTGTGCCAGAGACGCTTGTTGGGATGGAGGATGTTGGTGGCGGAACAACTTGCTGCTGGGCTGATGGCTGCACAGGCACCTCGTACACATGCGAGTGTGTGTATGCACCTTGTTGTTGTTGTTGTTGCTGTTGTGGTTGTTGCTGCGCATGGTGTGGGCTGTGCGGCTGGTCAAAGTGCCTCAGGTTTGCACTGCTGGTGCTGGTGCGGCTGGAAGGCGGTTGGTTGTGTTGCGAGTGTTCTTGGACATGCCAGTTTGCCGACGAGGACGATGTTCGCCTGTGGTCAATCCCACCAAGCCCACGACTGCTACTGCCGATTTTGTTTTTGATGCTGTGGTGGGCACCGTTGTTGTTGTTGTTGTTGTACATGGCGCTGCTGTTGAGCATTGCTGAAGGCGATTGCACGATGGTTCCACCAAGGGAAGGCCCAGAAGCGCGCTGGTCGTCCATGCGACCGCCCTGCGCCTTTGCCAACAGGTCGAACAGACTCTCATATGCGTCCATGATTGCGCTTCGTGCTTAAGCTGCTGCTGTTGCTGATGTTGTTGCGGGGTTTGGGTGCTGTGGATGTGTCCTGCTGGGGTGCGCTGCGTGTCTGCTGTGCAGCTCTGTGCTGTCTGCTGGTGGCTGCTTGTTCGAGTTGGCAAGCTCTCTGGTGGCGTGAAATGGAGGAAACAGGCGGTGGTCTCCCACACAAACACACGCAAAGAAAAGTACACGTCTGCACAGCAACCAACCACTTTGACAGCAACCAACCAATGAGGACGAGCAGAGCAGCAGCAGCAGTCGCAGGAGTACTGTGTCCTGCACGCTCGCCACCATGAGACCATGGCTGCCACCACCAACGTGCCATTCTCGCCATTGCTCCCATTCCAAAATGGCACTTTCCTTGAAGCGCTTACTGTTGCGATCAGTGGCGTTGGCGTGTGAGTCCTTCCTGTCACTTTTGACAGCGGCGTTGGTCCGGTTTTGGATGCGTTTTGCGCGATGTCGATTCGGTGCATTTCGAGCGAGAGAGACAAAGCAAAAAAACCAGACGAACAAACAGGCAAAGACGAACCAACCAACCAACCAACCAACCACAACCCTGACGGACAAATCGCATCGCCAGGAACGCAGCAGAGTTGGTGCAACCCGACAACAGCAGCGGCGTGGTGAGTGAGCGCAGCGGTGCAACCATCATCACGTCTCACCACCGATCAAACTCCATCTCAAACACAACCACACAACCACACGCGCACACAACCACTACAGAAAGTTTTGTCTGTGTTTTGTCAACCAACAAACACCCGGCTGCGCGTCCTTCCTTGTGTTGCCCACGCAGTTCTTACTCAAGAATCGCTCACTCGCACACCCGCTGTTTGCTCCGCTACTCATTCATCCACTCCCACCATCGGCCTGCACAACACCATCCAACACAACCTCCTGTTGTTTGGGGCGGATTCCATCCCCCATCCACATCCATCCATTCATCTCCCTCCCTCCTACATACAACACGGCGTGTCGTCGGCCTCTCTTTGTTGCGTCCAACAACAACACCAACACTGTGTTCTTTGCGCTCTTGCTTTCTTTCTTTCTCTTGCTCGCCGTCCGGTTCTCTCTGTCCTTCTCCTCTCTGCTCTCCGCCATTTTTCCCCATCTCCCTTTTGTCTCCGTCTCCCGTGATTTGTTGGATTGATTGATTCAATCTCTTGATTCTCGTTGCAACCGTTGCCGTCCACGTCTCCATCCTCCCCCGCATATGTCTGCTGTGAAGACCACCGGCAACACCCGCCCACAATCGGTCGCAAGCATGAGCTTCCGACGATCGCGCAAGGGCGCAACCGGCGCCTCATCTCCAACAGCGTCGAAGGCGGGCACAAGCTCCCGCTCCCCAAGTCCAACCAAGCGCAGCCGCGAGAAGCCCTCGTCCACATCCTCGTACTCAGCCACAATGGGGTCGTCGTCATCGGCGTCGCCGCCAACAGGCCGCCGCTCCGTGCGCACGTCCTCCCTCACTTCCCCGTCCTCACACACGCCAACCAAGCAGGACCCAGACTTCCGCATGTTCAGCGATGTCATGGGCAGGCGCTTCCAATACAATCCCAAGACAAACGTGGCTGTTCTTGACGACAGCTTCCGCCTGTGGCCGCGCACGCTGGGGCCCATTGAGCTCTCCACACGCGCCAGCGGCACACAGAAGCGGCTCAGCGCCAAGTTTCGCGAGCTTGACCGCTACGGCTGTGTGCATCGCCACGACTACCTTCCAGGCCTCACCCCAGGCACAGTCGACCGCCAGCACAGGTGCGACTTACTGCGTGTCTGTGAGTGGTTGTGTGTGTACACGTGATTGTGTGGATTTGTGTACGTGAGTGATCGTGTGTATGTGTGTGATTGTGCGTGTGAATGCATCTTCGTTTGAATGCATCCGCGTCGCCGTGTTTTGCATGCACGCTTTGTTGAATTGAAACCACGAGTTTGCTTTTCCATCACGTACTCATCACCTAATGCATCACCCCCACCACCGCCAACGTTACAGCAAAAACACGGGTCTGGTGATGAAACAAGAGATTGCATCCCGCATCCGTGATCACAAGGCCACCGGCGGCGCCATCAAGGAGGTTGCCCTGCAGGCCATGACCTGCCTCGAGTACTTCCTCCCCGTTGTCGTGCCCTACCACTACGAAACGGCCAAGCCATCCCACATGTGGACCACCGACGACACGAGCACCAACTACTGCAAGGAACTCTTCACGCTTCTTCCCGCCCTCTGCGCCGCCGCAACGCAGTGCCTGCAGAACGACGACATGCTTGTCGAGCTCTCCTCCCCTTGCTACGTCCTCGGTAAGGCGTCGTGTGTTTGTTTGCTTGTGTGTGTGTGTGTGTGTCTGTACATTTGGTGAACTTGGGACATCTTCTCTGCCTGTCTGTCTGTCTGTCTTTTTGTCAGTGCTTCATGCTCACCACCGCACTCACCCGCTCTCCACACCCACCACCAACCTCCGCACCACGCACCTCCGTTCCAAAGGCGACCTGCACGGTAACTTCCGCGATCTGCAGTACTTCTCCGCCAACTTCTGGCGCGCAGGGGTGAGTTGAGGTCTTGACTGCACGGCTTCACGTGCTGCGTGCGTGGCGTGTGCATGCGTTCGCAGAGTGTTTTGTGCTGTGCACTTTCATGGATGTGGATCGTCTATCCTCCGTATCATGCTTCATGCGCTATTCAGCACTAACACCAGGTTGCACGCGTTGCTGCTGCATTTCACAACCAGGTGGACATCTGTCCTGCCGACCTTCTCTTCCTCGGCGACTACGTTGACCGCGGTGTGTGTGATGTGGATGTGAATATGTGTGTGTGTGTGTGTGATGTACATGTGTGTGAGTTGAGATTGAGGTCATTACTGGTGTTTGCGTCTTCACACGTATGCTTGCCGTCAACTTACGCCTCTGCATTGAATCCCCTGCAACCTATTTTCAGGTCCCCACTCCACCGAGCTCATCGCTTACCTGGTGCGTTCGTTTGTTGGTGCAATGGCACACACACAGACAACACACACAGACACACACGCACACACACGCACACACACGCACACACACAGGCACACACACACACATTGCATACACTGTCCTTCTTCTCGCTTTCTCCGTCGCCTGCACCCTGTGTTGTTTGAAGCAAACCGCACCTATCGACTCACTCATCTTCGTCTGGTGCTCGTGTTACCCACAGCTTGCACTGAAGGTGCTTTATCCCAAGAAGGTCTTCCTTCTCCGCGGCAACCACGGTCAGTGCACATGTGCACATGTGTGCATGTGCGTGTGTGTGCGCGTGCGTGCGTGTGTGTGTGTGTGTGTGTGCGCGTTAACCACGTGTTCGTGTGAAACAACATCTCACCGTGTGCTCACCCCGATATCTCTCACCTTCACCACCACCAGAGCTTGAGTCTGTGTGCGGCAACACGGACTACTATGGCGAGGGAAGCTTCCGCTCGCAACTCCTCAACCTCGCCGTCAAGTGCAACTGCCTCAACATCTTCGGTGCGTGTGCATGTGCATGAGCATGAGCATGAGCATGTCTTCATGTGCGCATGCATGTTCGTGTGTTTGGGTACACGTGCGTTCGTATTTCCGTCATGTTCCTGGGGTTTCAAGTGAAATGTGCCATTTGCATGCCACAATACTCACGCTGTTCCCTGTTTCTGTTTTTCTTCTCATGCTGTCGCCATTGCGTCGTGGCGACAGATGAGGTGTGGCAATCGTTCATGACGTGCTTTGAGTGGATGCCACTCGCCGCCACCATCGACTCCAAGATCTTCTGCTGCCACGCCGGCCTTCCACGCGCCCTCATGATGTCTGGTCAGTCGCCTCTTTCATATGTGCGTGTACGTGTGTGTGTGTGTGTGTGTGTGTGTGTGTGTGTGTGTGTGTGTGTGTGTGTGTGTGTGTGTGTGTGTGTGTGTGTGTGTGTGTGAACACACCTCGCTGTAACGTCACGCTGCAGCCCCCTCCCCTCTCACACACAATGTCACCTTACCTTCATCTTCCAACACATTCAGATACGGGCGGGGACCGCACGATTCTGGAGCGCATCAAAGATCTGCAGCGCCCGCTCAAGGAGGAAGACGACATCGACAGTGCGTTGTTGTTGTTGTTGTTGTTGTTGTTGTTGTTGTTGTTGTTGTTGTTGTTGTTGTTGTTGTTGTTGTTGTTGTTGTTGTTGTTGTTGTTGTTGTTGTTGTTGTTGTTGTTGTTGTTGTTGTTGTTGTTGTTGTTGTTGTTGTTGTTGTTGTTGTTGTTGTTGTTGTTGTTGTTGTTGTTGTTGTTGTTGTTGTTGTTGTTGTTGTTGTTGTTTAAGAAGTTGTTGATGGTGTTGTACGCTTGCATGCACGCCTGAACACACATGCACATTGGGGTTGTTTCCACATATCCTTGCTTTACCGCTCTGCTTGTTACCTTGCATCAACGCAGCCACAATCAATTCCCGCCCATTGCCCAATCTCACATTCCATTCACACCACCACCACCGCCACCATCTACAGCGGACCCTGAGTGCGTTGCGATGGACATTCTGTGGGCCGATCCGGCCTCCCACCGCGAGCGCGGCATGTGAGTACATTTGAGAAATGCACACACACACACACACACACACAACACAAACACATATCAACACACACACACACACACACACACACACACACACACACACACACACACACACACACACACACACACACACACTCACTCACGCGCGCCGACGAAGCGTCTTGTCCCTCATTTCCTTGTTGTCCATTATTGCAATACCCCCTTTTCTTCAACTCACATATTGACCTCCCTTTCGCCCTTCTTCCACCACCCCACCACCTCACCATCCTCTCTCCCTCTCTCCTGTGCCCTGACAGTATGGGGATGCATGGTATGCCGCCCGGGTTTGCGCTCAACCTGGACCGTGGCGGCGACGCGTGTGTGTTTGGCGAAGATGCCGTGGCCGCGTTCAAGGAGCAGACGGGCTGTGACTTTATCCTGCGCGCCCACCAGCCGCCAGACAAGGGCATTCGCTACCAAGCAGGCGCCAAAGTGGTACGTGCACACACACACACACACACACACACACACACTCTCTCTCTCTCTCTTGTGTGACCAAATACGGCTTACAGAGCAAGTACAGCTTGCTTGTATCATTTTGGCTGGTGCCATCGTTTATGTGGTGTGTGATGCTACACAGAGGAAACAAAATGCACAATCAAGTCCACACGCAGTACACGCGCCCCTACGCAAATGCACCCCCCCCCCTCTCCACCCGCCTTCCCCACATCACACCTCCCCACCAACACCGTCTCACACCTCCCATTCCCACCTCCTTTGTGCCTTGCTCGTGTGACAGATCACCGTGTTCTCGTCCAGCCACTACTGCGGCATGAACAACTCCGCAGCCCTCATCGTCGTCTCCGAGCAGCAACTGGACATTGTCACCACGGGCGAGACGGTGAGCGAGGACAAGCGGTCCACATCGTCCAGCCGCGCACAGACACCGGCAGCGCGTGCACGCAGGATGCAGAGCATTGCGGAGGAGAACGGGCAGCACACTAGCTTGTAGTGCCGCCATCCCGACGCAGCTGCCGCATCACCTTCTGCACCCACAGCCGCATCCGCTGCTCTTGCTCCTCCTGTGTGTGTGTGTGTGTGTGTGTGTGTGTGTGTGTGTGTGTGTGTCGGAGTGAGCAAGCTGTCGATGAGCGAAGGTGTGGTGTGCAGAAACAGCTGCTGGCGCTGTGTGCATGAGCCAAGTATTGGGCTGTCTGCTATTGTTTGGTAGTCGCTGTAAACGACCATGCCATGGTTGCGGGTGTTGGCCCCATTCTTTTCTTTCTTCCTTTCTTCCTTTCTTTCGTCTTGTGTCCGCTTCGGTCGCTGTAGCTTGTTGGGTGCATCAACACCCCCATCATCCATCTTCTTTGCATTCGTTCTTTCCTCTTGCGTCCATGTGTTCATCATTCCGTCTTCCCGGTGTCACAGCCTTTCACACCACGATGCATTGACCCCCTGTTGCTGCTATTTTGTTCCTGAGTAGTAATGCCATTGTCCCCCCTCCCTTCTGTTCTCGCTGCTGCTGTGTCAACGAATATACGGAATGGTGCAACTGCGCCTTCGTATGGCTGATGGTGTTGCTGGGGCTGATGGTGTTGCTGTCGCGGTGGTGTCTTGTCGCACGCAAGCGAGCACAGGACACATGTACACAGGTAATTGGACACACACACACAGACACGCAGACACACAGACACACACAGACACACAGACACACACGCACACAGACACAGACACAGACACACAGACACAGACACACACACACACACACGCACACGCACACACATACCTGGTCCTGTCGGATGCGTGCGTCCATGACCTCAGCGCTCACGGGCGATTCTTCAACCTTTGGTTCAATGGCACTGGCACTGGCCTTGCCGTGTGCTTTGGCTTGCTTGGCGCCTGGCGATGCTTCTGTGTTGGGGTATGGCGTGCACGCACCAGAATGTGCGCAAGGCCGCCGCAAAGCCGCGCGGTGTGAGGATGAAGGGAGTGACATTGAAGCAGGGAGAGACGATGGGCAAGGTAAAGGGACAAGGGACGAGGGACAAATCAGTGTCATATACGAACAAACGAACAAACAAACAAACAAACAAACAAACAAACAAACAAACAAACAAACAAACAAACAAACAAACAAACAAACAAACAAACAAACAAAACAAACAAACAAACAAAACAAACAAACACACACACACGATACTTGATTCATCAACAGCCCAGTGATCACGCCTCACCTGCTCTTGCTGCACGTCGCTTTGCATTTCGTCCGGGCGACTGCTGCTGCTGCTGCTGCTGCTGCTGTTGTTGTTGTTGTTGTTGTTGTTGTTGTTGCTGCTGCTGCTGCTGCTGCTGCTGTTGTTGTTCGTTGTTGTGCCTTGTGTTGTGGCGGTGGGTCGGGTTGGCGTACCATGCGAGAGTTGACTATGACGGGGATGGCCGTTGAGAATGTTGTTATGGAGGTCGCAACAGCCGGGGTGCCGTTGCCTGTTCTTTGTCCAGCCGAAGATGGCGAAGGCTTGCCGTGTTGCACAGCATGCTGTCGTGGAGGTGTGGATATCGCGGAAGGCAAAGGCACAGCGACATGAGTTGGGTCGTGTGCTTGCGGTTGTTGTTGGTGTTGGTGTTGTTGGTGTTGGTGTTGTTGGTGTTGTTGTTGCTGCTGCTGCACAGTTGCTTGGTAGACGACTGGCGGCGTTGCTGTAGGTGGTAGCAACGACGTGGTCGTAGCGGCCATCGCCTCTGCAGGCGGCAATGGAGGCTGTGGCGCTGTGGCGACGATGTGCACGACCGGAGCGTGCTGTTGCTCGCTCTCCTTCTTGTGCTTCTTGTGCTTCTTGCTCTTTTTCTTGGTCCTGCTGCTGGACTTTGCGTCCTTGTCTGTCGCTCCAGCAGCCGCTGTTGTGGCTGACTCATCATCAACATCCGTCTGCTGCTTCTTCTTCGTCTTCTTCTTTTCGTGCTTGTCTTGCTTCTTCTTTTCCTTCTTCTCCATCTTCTTGTTCTTCTTCACATCACCCTTCTTCTGCTTCAGCTCCGTTTCCGTCTTCTTCTCCTTCTTCTTCTTCTTTCTGGGCTTTGGACTTTGTTGTTGCTGTTGTTGTTGTTGTTGTTGTTGTTGTTGTTGTTGTTGTTGTTGTTGCTGCTGCTGTTGTTGTTGTTTTGGATTCGCGGCAGCGCTGGCATGCGTGCTAGCTGCACTTGCGCTGGGTGCAGATGTGTTGTGCATGAGGCGCACCCGTAGGACGACCATGTGCGCCTCTGGCTTGAGCTGCGTTGCGCCCTGGAAGAATTTGTACGCTTTTGATGCGGGCCAAGGTGCAAGGTCTGGGTAGATGACGAGGTGGTCGTGGCGCAGTGGCTGCTGGAAGTGGGTTGCGAACCCCGCCACAACCAGCTCATGCAGCTCCTGCTGCAGTGCGAGCGTGCTTGCCACGGTGCCAAAGTCCTGTTCCCTGTACATTTGCCGCCAGGCAGCCAATGAGTGGAAGCGTGTCCGCGTGAGTGGGTGAGTGAGTGAGTGAGTAGGTGAGTGAGTGAGTGAGTAGGTGAGTGAGTAGGTGAGTGAGTGAGTGAGGTTTGTAATGTGTGTGCACGGATGTTGTCGTGATGCGTGTACATGGCCACATCCGAGTGCACAGTGCATGAACGATCTTGTGCAAGTCAGAGTGCGTGCATATGTGTGTGTGTGCGATGCAAAGCCGAAGGTCTGCAAACACATACACGCACACACACACACACACACACACACACACACACCGCTTCCTCATTTCTCGCCGTCCCCATCACTGACCTGACAAAGGCAATGGACATCTTGACGAGCTGGTTGCCGTGCACCAGCAGCCGTGGACGCACCAGCTCCCTCAGGGCATCATCTTCATCACCACCTCCAGCGTTTCCCGCCATCCTCAAGTGCAGTGCTTGAGTGTGAGTGTGTGAGTGTGTGTGTGTGTGTGTGTGGTGCGAATGCTGAATGTGAAAGTGAGCGACTGCCGATGTTTGGGGGTGCTGTTGTTTCTGCTGCTGCTGACGTATTGAGACGGCTGCACAGGCAAGTTCCCGCCTTTGGATCGTGGGTTTGTTCACGACAGCTGGTGCTGCTGGTGCTGCTGGTGCTGCTGGTGCAAACACACAGACACAAACACACTCGCACAACAAACAAGCAACTGCCAGCCAGCTCTGTTTGTTCTCGCTTTGCCTCTCTTTTGTCTTGCTTGCTTGTCCTTCCCGCCAAAAACGGCCAGTGCGCCGCCGGTTCAAACGCTTTGCACAAAATGGAAAACTGTTGCATTATTTATTCCGATGCCAAATTTGTGGACATCTTGGCGATTATTCACGCCAGCAAGAATGTCGTTCTGCACCCCAACGAATTCGCATCCCAACCCACACCTGCATTGTTTGTGTATCATCATCAAGACCACGGCAAGAAACCGACAACGACTCACACACCACCACGACAACACGCACGCACGCACCAACACCCCCTCCCTCTTCTGTCCCACGAAAACGGAGCAAGGAGCGACGAGCGAAGGTGCCATGATGACTTTGCTTCAGGGGTGCATTGTATCGTCTTATGGTTGCTCGTGCCTTGCTTGCCCCGTCATTGTTTAGCTCTCGTATTGATGTTGTTGCGTTTGTGTTGTGGCGTGTGTGATGTGTGACGCGACCAAAAATACACCACACACACACACCAAACACGCACACACACACCAAACACTTTCGTCATCGCCGTTCCGCTCCAGCACTCTGTCAGCCATCCACCAGCAAGACACACACCAACGCCACGACCAACACACGCACACAAGAATCTGTGACCAAATCGCCGCGTTCACACACACGCACACACACACAACAACAACAACAACAACCCACGCATACACATACACACACATACACACACATACACACACATACACACGCCTTTCCCTGCCCCTCCCCCCTCCTCGCCGCAAGCCGGTCCTGTGACACAAGGTACGTCATCAACAGCCCACACGCACGCACCGCGTTCTCACCACCAACCAACCAATACGCGCATGCACGGAAGAGTGTGTGCTTGTTTCCTTGCCTTCTCTGTTTGTTTCCTTCCCCTCCTTTTCGCTTCAACGTCTTCTCCTTCGCAACACCACCCCACCACACGTCGCATGCTTGTGCGCGTGTGCGTCGTGAACTTGTGGGTGTGGTGTGCACGCACCCAACAACGCCCACGCTCCAAGTGTGTTTGCTTGCAGTCCTTTCTCCTTGCCTGCTCTCGTTCTTCCCCCGTCCTTCCTCCCAACCAATCGAGCATGTTATTTCTGGTGTCCCCGCTCGCTCGCTGTTGCATGCATCATGTTCGTGCACGAACCCCTGCAAGCATCCTCCTTCTGTTCTTCCCTGCAAGCATCCTCCTTTCTGCTCTCTTGTCTCCCATGCCCTCCTTTTTGTGGGAAAACAATCACATCCACCACATCCACCACCAGCAGCAATTGCCGTGTTCGTGACGATCTCGCATGTATCCGCGGCAAACGTCATCCACAATCACACACGTCAACTGCCTGTCTTGCTTTTCCCATCACCAACACCACCACCACTCACGTCTCCTCCACGCCGTTGGTTGCTGGGCACGTTCATGTTCGTGCATTTGTGCGCCTGTGCGTTTGCGTCGTGGTGTTCGTGTTGTGCTGTTCGTGTTGTGCTGCCCATTTTTTCCTCGACCACCCTGTACCAGGCTTGTAACTCCCTTCCTTCCTTCGTCGCATCCATATCCCCCCCCCCTTGGCTTGGAGCAGAAACAGATCCGGCCAACACCAAGAGCAGCGACCACCACACGTCCAAGCACTCGAGGTATGCACACGCACCATCCATCCATTGTTGTTGTTGTTGAGGAGTGCAACAAAGGTGAAGTGGAGAGGGAGGATATGGGGGGGGGTTGTTACACGGCCATCCAACCACCACCACAACCAGCACCACCAGCACGAACACGTAGAGCCCTCCTTTTTGCTACATCCTTGCTGCCCTCAATGTATCTATCCATCCATCCATCCATCCATCCATCCATCCATCCATCCATCCAATCCAATCCATTCTCCTTGATGGCGTGCGATAACTCTTCTGCCCCAGTTGGCATTGCTCCTGTGGCAACCACCCGTTCACCGCACATGCCCGCCACTTGCATTGCCCCATTTATCCATCCATCCATCTATTAACATTCACCACCACCACCACCACCACCACCACCACATTCACTCTCCTCCTCCACCACATTCACCACCCCACCACGGCCAGCAGCTAGCTACTAGGCGTCCCCAACAACAGCACAGGCTACACCTTAAACTCTTTGGTTTGTTTTGCACCCCATTCGGCTCTGAGCGCACCGACAGCCAGCCACAAAGGCCAGCAACAACCCCATCCACCCATTCATCCACCACCAATCCAATCTGCCCCTTCATCCGCCATCCATCCGTGCTGCCATAAGCAATCGGCAACCGCAGTTGTGACCCATGAGCCCACAACAGCACCCACCTGTCAAGCAACAACAGCAGCACCAAGTCAAACACCAGCACCACCAGCAGCACCAGCAGCACCAGCAGCAGGGTTACCAGGCGTTTTCCGTGTCTGGCGGTGTGTACAGCACAGCCAGCCCTTCTCACCACCACCACCAACAACAACAGCACCAACAACAACAGCACCACCACCACCAACAACACCACCACCACCACCAACACCACCACCACCACCAACAACAACAGCACCAGTCGCCGTCGTCGTCTTCACCGCAGCGGGCAGTGGCAGCAGCAGCAGCAGCAGCAGCCATGGCTACGACACAGCCCGTTCTCACCACGACAAAGAACGTGGACTACACAGTGCGAAGGCACTCGCCCACGGCCGCCTCCTCCCGCTCCAAGTCCCCGCACGTTCACCACCACCCCCACCATCACCCGCAGCACCACCCGCGCAGCAGCGGTGGTGGCGGCGTGCAGTATGCGCCACAGGTTGCATCCTTCACACCGCGGTCTGCGTCGTCGTCATCACGCAAGAAGCGCAAGAACAAGATCCCGCGGCCAATGAACTCGTTCATGTGCTTTGCGCAACGTTACCGACCCATGCTGCAACAGGAGAACCCTGGCATGGACAACAAGGACGTGTCGCGCCTGCTGGGCGCAAAGTGGCGCAGTCTCTCTGACGAGGAGAGGATGATCTACACCGAGCAGGCGCGCGTGCTGGCACAGGAACACAGGGCGCTGTACCCAGAGTGGAAGTTTACCCGCGACACGAAGAAGAAGAAGCAGCAACAACAACAACAGCAACAACAACAGCAGCAGCAGCAAGAACAAGAGCAGCAGGCAGGCAAGGGCAAGGCTACTAGGGGTGGTGGAGGGAAGGATGGCGATGATGATAGCGGTGTTGACAGCAGGAAGGTGAGCAATGGCAGCAACGCCAGCCATGGCACCAAACCATCACCCATGGGGCAGCGCATCAAACTGGAGCTGAGCGACCACGCCACGACCAGCGACGCTGTTGGCTCATCCGGCAGCAGCGAACAGTGGGGCTCCACGCCACAGGGGCCATCGCCAGGCAAGGCCGGCGTGGACGAGATGGCAACGGGTGCGCCCTTTGTTGTCATGCAACAGCAGCCGCAACAGCATCCACATGGCGTGGTGATGCCTGCACAGCTTCAGCAGCATCAGCAGCAGCACATGCAGCACCCGAGCACGCTGCCTGCGTCCAGCCCGTTTGCATTCCAGCACCCATATGCGCACCGCGAGACGGGAGCACCACATCATCCTCACCACCACCATCATCAGGTCGCGGCAACGGCAGCAACACCACCGCCTGCAACGACAGCATACTATTACGGCATTCCGTCGCACGCGCCGTTTGTCCCCAGCGTGTATGCGACAGATGGCACACCCTTGACGGCCCCGTTCCTGAGCACGGCTGATCCCCGTGCCATGACGCAACCGCCACCCTACCACCCGCCGCCCAGCTTTGAGCAGGCGTACCGCATCGTCCAGGGATACACACTCTACCCGCACCCGCAGCCCTGAGCTGTGGCGTGTGTGTGTGTGTGTGTGTGTATGCGTGTGTATGCGTGTGCGTCGTGCGGATGTGCGTGTTTGTACATTGTGTGCGCGCGCGTGTTTACGACATTGCGCACGCGCGTGCTTCTCTGTGCGTGTGTTGATTTCTTATTGGCTGCTTTTCATATTTCCTTTTTGGTTTGGTGTGCGCGCCACGTGCGATCTTTCTTTCCTGTTGGTCGTCCTTCATCGCCTCGCCTCCAACGCCCCCCTCCCCCCTGCTTGCTTGCAAGCATGCTGATCCCCTCGCCTGCGCCCACGTTCAGTCTGGAGCGAGATGGGTCTCTCTGCTACATCGTGCTCACCACGTGTTGAAGGGGCCCACGTTGTGCTTTTGTTTGTTCTTGCGGCTGCGCTGCTTGTGCCTTAACTGACCATGTTGACTGAGACTGAACGAACGACTTGTTGACTGCGCGTGATGGTGGCAGCAAAAGAGGCGGGGGAATGGAGGAGATGAGAGAGGGAGATACAGGGAGGCGAACGAAGGCAGACACACACACACACACACACACACACAGACACACACACACACTTTTCCTCCACAAAAACACTTGGCAGAAGCCAAAGATAGAAAGCAACCACTGCACAGAGGACAAGCAAGCGAACAAGCAAACATGGCAGAGCTACGGGAGCCGTTTGACCATGGCGTGACGCGCCTGCTGCAGCTGCTGCGTGCCGTGGAGCAAGGCGGCGACACGCCAAAGCACGTCAAGGACATCAAGGGCGTCGTGCAGACCATGTACGCTATTGTGTGTGTGTGTGTGTGTGTGTGTGTGTGTGTGCGTGTGTGTGTGTATGTGTGTGTGTGTGTGCGTGTGTGTGTGCGTGTGTGTGTGTGTGCGTGTGTGTGTGCGTGTGTGTGTGTGTGTGTGTGTGTGTGTGCGTGTGTGCGTGTGTGTGTGTGTGAGTGTATGGGGGAGGTCAGTGTGACTCAATGAGTGTGTGTGTGCGTGGATGGGAATAAGCAGGTCACTACGTAAGATGGATGTAGACAATTCTTCTGGAACAAACAAATGAGAAGGAAGATATGTAAAATATAAGCGGTTAATCTATGTAAAAAAGCGTGTTTGGGGCGCTGGATATATATATAGGCGAATAAACATTGACGATCGGGACAGGAGAGGTGGCGAGGTGCTGCTCTTAATAGCGATCAATATAGTTATTTTTATTTCTTTTTTTTTTTTATATAATTATTTTTAGTC